GCGCTGCAGGCACTCGGGAAGTGCTAGCCATTATTACAATTCTCATGACTACTTTCCAGTCTGACTATCCAGGGAACACAGAGCTGTCAGTAAGCAATGGGAACTGGAAGGTGTACGGGTTCAGTACCCAGGGATCTCCTGGAACCCCTCCTTCTATGCCAGTGTCTGGTAGTGAAGGTTAACAGCCACTGCATCCTACACAGAAAGAACCCCCCAGGGCCCAGAACCTTTGGGAATGGAGCTCAGCACTGCCCCAACAGGGAAAAACCTCAGCCAGCTAAGACCTAGCTGGAAGGGAAGGGTGTGAGGAATGGGCATGAAGTGCCTCTCATCATGTGGCTCCCCCAGGCAGCTCCTGATTGGTCCCACATCACTTCATCCCTGAGTCTTCCTCTCCAGCCCCACGTCCACCCTCATCCAGGCCCCTCGTCCATGAGGGTGGCCCCACCCCTTCTCCTCCAGCCCACTTCCACCTGCACCATCTGAGACACCCAGCAGATGACACCCAGGCAGGGCTCCAGGCATGGCCTCCTTCCTCCTGAGCAAGGCACTCACGGTGCCTCTTGACTGGCCCTGATCCTCCTCCACTCACGATCACCATCACTCCCTACCCGGTGGCCACCCTCCTGCTCTGAGCCCAGAGTTGGTCATGTTCTCCTGTGCGCCTCTGCCTGTGTGGTGCCCTCTCTCTGGAACACCCGCCCTGTCTGCCCCTTGCTCTCTCCACTCTGTCCTACGAGTCAGCCCTGTGTGAAGTAGGGGCCCCTCCCCTGCTCCCACCACACCCTGGGGTCACCTTAATCATAATTCTGATTATACCACAGAACGTTCTAGCTTCCCCTCTCAGCGCCTTGAAGGACACCCCAGTCCCTGCAGCCCCCAGCGCCTGCAAAGTACCCACACATCACAGTCCCCCAATGGGAGTCAATGGGTCTTACTTCCTCTCACCCTCGTGTAGCTGGGGGCCCAGTGAGGGCCGCCCACAGAAGTGCTTAATGCAAACTCTCGAACTAAAAAACAGTGAGGATTGAGAGAGGCTTCCTTTGTTAAAAGACAGCAAACTGTTAGATTTCAAAAATAACTTAAGACGGGATTTCTTTTTTATTCTCAAGCAAGCAGCCAGACATTGCCAAATCTATTTAGAAGGTTCACCAAGAGGCTGCTAATCCCACCCTGGTGGTCCTGCAATCAGCAGGAGTCTTCACTTGGGGGCATGCAAACTGGGGATCCCTGATCCCAGGGTTGCTGGCCAAGGTCAGGGCTCCTCTGAGTGGGGGAGGGGCTCTCCAGGGCCCTGGAGGAGGCTGGCCTCCACTCCAGCTCGCCCTCTGTCCCAAGGACCTGCTTGCAGCCTGTAGGCCCCCATCCATGCCGCCTGCTTGTAGGGACTCGTTTTAATTAATGCCAGAGCTGGGCCAACCACTGGGGCCATGACACTTGTTTGCAGGTCATCTCCTCCTAACAGGCTCGCCCTGGGAGGGGATTTGTCACTAATTGAAGCAGAGATCAGTTAATGAGGCTGCGGGACCTGGGGTTCCAGAGAACAAGGGAAAGGAAAATAAAATAAAGCCTCTTTCTTCAGAGGTTTTGTGACTTACACACACAAAAGAAAAGCAAGCAAGCTGCTGATTTTCCAAGTCAGAAACTCCAGTCCATCTGCCGGAGTTAGACCCTCACTGTGTGAAGACGTCAGGAGGAGGGACGCCGCCACCGCTAGGACTCGCAGATCGGAGGGGCCTCAAGGCCAGCAATCAGTCAGTGGCCTAATTAATAAGTATTTATGGGGCAGTGCCCTATGCTCCTCTCCATGGGGGAGAAGCCATGGTGCCTGTCCCTGGTTAACTTGTAATTCAGTGGGGATGGGGCTCAGACTGCAGAACACTGAGGGGACAGGGACATGGTGCGACTGAGTGTGAGTGGGAAGGACAGGGGTTTCCAGGACTTGTGGGGAGGGAGAGTGCTACGGGCTGGAGTGGTTGGGGAAAGCCTTTCGAGGGGTGCTGGAGCTCACAGGGAGGAGAAACGAGGGAGGCCCCAGCACAGACACAGCCCCACTTGAGGCCCCAGCCCCTGCTCAGCAAGATCAGCTCTGGGAACCCCAGAGGGCTCCAAGTCCCCCAATAACTCTGTCTTCAGAACCCATACCCTACAAATCTGTGCTAGGTTTGCCCTGGCAAGTGGTTGGGATGGAGCGGCTGATGGTCCTTCAGGTGGGGCAGTGAGGACTGGACACGCAGAGAGCTCGGAGCTCTCAGAAAAAGCTGAGTGATTTTTTACTTTTTTTTTTTTTGAGACGGAGTCTCACTCTGTCACCCAGGCTGGAGTGCAGTGGCTGGATCTCAGCTCACTGCAAGCTCCACCTCCCGAGTTCACGCCATTCTCCTGCCTCAGCCTCCCGAGCAGCTGGGACTACAGGCACCCGCCACCTCGCCCGGCTAATTTTTTTGTATTTTTTTAGTAGAGACGGGGTTTCACCGGGTTAGCCAGGATGGTCTCGATCTCCTGACCTCGTGATCCGCCTGTCTCGGCCTCCCAAAGTGCTGGGATTACAGGCTTGAGCCACCGCGCCCGGCCGATTTTTTACTTTTTTTGAGACAGGGTTGTGCTCTGTCGCCCAGGCTGGAGTGCAGTGGTGCAATCATGGCTCACTGCAGCCTCAACCTCCTGGGCTCAAGCAATTCTCCCACCTCAGCCTCCCAGGTAGCTGGGACTACAGGTGTGCACCACCATGCCTGACTAATTTTTTTTGTATTTCTTGTAGAGATGGAGCTTTGCCATATTACTCAGGCTGAGAAGCTGATTCTTGGCCTGCAGAGGAAGGAAGTCCACCGGGACAATGATCCCCTTCACTCAAGCCTTTCCATTCAGGGCCACTCAGCATCCTTCCCTATGTAGCCTCCTCTTCTCACCCCACCCCTGAGTCTCCAAGAAGGGAAGGGGATTTTTGAGCTGCTAAGCCAAGCAGACCATCAGCTCCTCTCATCACAAGGAACAAGGAGGAGGTGACAGAGTCCTTTCTCCCACTCAGGAGAGCCTTTGGCCTTCACCCAGCAAGTCCCCAGAATCAGGGACCCCCCACTTGTCTGACTCACAAATGCCGTCTCCTGCTGGGCTGCAGGACAAGCTGGGTGGCAGGTCAGCAGTCTCTTGGTGAGCCATCTGAATAGGTCTGCAATGTCTGGCTTCTTGCTTTTGTGAAGACATAAGGATTTGGGAAAGAGATCTTGGGCATGAGATGGGACATCCCACTTCACAGCTATTTGGAGATGACTTGGTCTATGTGGGAGTGAAATAAATGAGGCCATTTCAGGACAACCCCAAATCCCTCCTTTAGAAGAATGGTGAATTAAATTGTGGTGTATGGTACAATGGGTAATATACAGCCGTGAACTGTTATTATACAGTATTTACTTAATGGCACTGGAAAGACGAGGAAAGTGGGTTTTACCAAAAGGTTATTGTATGTGAATTCTTCATTATATGTGAATGTTTTCTTTTTCATTAGAGATAAGATATTGCTATGCTGCCCAACGTGGCCATAAGTGATCCCCCCATCTCAGCCTCCTGAGTAGCTGGGATTACAGGGGCACACCACCTTGCCCAGCTGAATGGTTTTGGAGTTTTTTATTTAAACTTTTTTATTATTTATTTATTTATTTTATTGGAGATGGAGTCTCACTCTGTCGCCCAGGCTGGAGTGCAGTGGCGTGATCTCAGCTCACTGCAACTTCTGCCTCCCAGATTCAAGCGATTCTCCTGCCTCAGCCTCTCAAGGAGCTGGGATTATAGGTGCCCATCACCATGCCAACTAATTTTTGTATTTTTTTAGTATTGACGGGGTTTCACCATGTTGGCCAGGCTGGTCTTGAACTCTTGATCTCAGGTGATCCACCTGCCTCGGCCTCCCAAAGTGTTGGGATTACAGGCGTGAGCCACTGCGCCTGGACTTTTCTTTTTTTAAATGGGGTCTTGCCATGTTGCCCAGGTTGGAGTGCACTGGCTGTTCACAGGTGCGATTATAGCATACTACAGACTCCAACACCTGGGCTCAAGTGATCCTCCCACCTCAGCCTCCTGAGTAGCTGGGACTACAGGTGTGCCCTGCTGTGCTCAGCTATGTGAATGTTGTTTGGTTTTCATTTTCTAATTATTTTTTCTTACCAGTTACATTAATGTATTGTGTAATGAATGAAATGACAGGGTTGTGAAGGGGCCCTTCGCCCTCTGGAGTCAGCTATAGAAGGCCATCCTAGTGGGGATCCAGAGAGAGCCAGACATAGGCACAGGGGTGGGCCCAGGGGTGGGACAAGTGTGCAGAAGGTCCTGGCAGCTTGAGCGTCCACTCTGGCTCTGGCCCAGGGCCCTGACTGTGTCACTTGCCCCTGGCCTCCTCTGGGAAGCAGGGAGCCACATCTACCATATCCTCACACTCAGTCTCTGAACCTCCCCTACTGAGTAGCTGCTCTGGCCTCAAAGTACCGTGGAGACTCAGCGTGAGCCTAATGCCCCTGGCTTTGGGCACTGACAGGTCTTCAGGAGGAGCTGGACATGTGACACCAGTAAGGCCACAGAGAGGAAACAGCAGCGCCCCGGTAGCTGAGCAAGAGCTCAGGGGAGCAGGCACATGGGCGGGCCTTGCAGAGTCATTCAGAGGCGCTCCCGCCAACTCCGACCCAGCCACGTTACTGAGCATGAGAAGCGGCCTTCTGAGCAGAATGCTGGGCAACCGTGGCCCCACTCAAGACAGATGTCCTGCCTCGGCGCCCCCGGGGCACCACCTCACCTCCCCGCCTGCTCTCCATTACAGGGAGCACCGGGTTGTGCTCTGTCTACTGGAGCCTCTTTTCGGCCTGGAAAGCCTGTCCTGACTCCCTACCCACAGAAACCTGTCTCCCACATCCTTGCCCAGCCTGGCCCTCAGGTAAGCATCCACTTGCAATGCTGAGCGGGGTGGCCTGAGAGCAGCAGAGTCAAGAAGGAGCAGGGGAGGGAGTACTCACAGCAATGGAGACAGCACTGATGACAGCTCCCAGGTAGCCCTGGATGAACTTGGATACAGGTGAAGGCTGGAAAACAGAGGCAGAATTTCAGGCCTGCTAGGTGCCAAAAGCTCCCATACTTCCCCTTATAAGCTGTCCCAGCCAGCAAGAAGCATGCTGCCCACCAGCCTGGAAGGTGGGTGGAAGAGGCCCCTCAGGACCCAAAGGGATTAGGCCACCCTCAGCTCAGTTCCCAGCGTAGAAATATAAATCACCAGTAACCAGGGAGATGCTGAAGGGCCCACTTCACTCCTGCCCTATTCTAGAAAGGTCACTGGCAGACAATGCTGGCTGGAGGTGAAGAACAGCAAGGCTAACACGGACCATTGATGGCTGGGGCAAGCAGTCTCCACTTCAGAGGTTAAATGCTGCAAGGGGGCTGTTTGGCACCTGGAGCACTTTCTAGGTGGAAATGCCCGTGTCAAGGCTCTCACAGGCCTTGCCAGCCCATGGAACAACTGGGCTCCCATGTCAACAGATGATAGCTGCCCAATATCGCTACAGAGTAATATACCCCGAGTTCCAACACAGACAATTAAGAAAAAGCTGAGGAACTTGCCCTGTGCTACAACTGCAGGCTTACAGGTGTTTGGTTTAAGATAAATGGGAGTCATCCAAGCAGAGATGGCCATATGTGAAGCCTATGAGAGAGACTGGGGTGGAGGTTTAGATGTCAGGGGGCACCCACAGCGTACCAAGCCTCTCAATTCCTACAGTCCAAGCCAGCTCCTAACTCCCCTCCTCTCCCCCAAGGTTAGCAAATGTTAGGACTCTCCTCTACCCCAAACCGACAGGCCCCCAAAGGGGACCTAGATGCATCCTGCCTTCTTTGCCTTTGAACTGAAGTTGGGGAGAGGTGGCCTTTGTAGCAAAGCAGGGGCCCAGCAGCTCTTCCTGGACAACAGAAGGGTGATCGGGCCTCCACCACAAGCTCTCCAAGGAGTGCAGGGGGCTTTGGGGAGGAGGTACCAGCCCTGGACCCTCCCCACTCAGGAGCAGCCCTTCAGCTTGTGGCCAGTCAGGACCTGACAGCACTGAGGCAGCTTCCAGAAAATTTGGAGGAAGCTTTAGGGGAATTTGGCCCCCAAGTAGCTGATATCATCATGATCCAAAACCCAAATGTAAGAGCTATCCAAGAAGAATCTGAAAGCCAGCCAAATTCATCCCTTGCATTGCCCCCATTTAATGGGCCTTCTTCACTTCATGTAAACAGCTCCTCCCCAGAGGGCTCCTGGCCCAGAAACTCCAGCTGACCTCAGCCGAGTAATGTCTGAGTCGGCCACCCACCTGAAGGGTTGGCATTTTAAATAAGATATCTAGAGGAGGGCCATGTTTAACCAAGAGGCAGCCACTGATGGTGGCATGTCACACTGTAGGGAGGATGACTGGGCCTCCCTATCCTGAACCCCACCACTTGGGAGAGGGCAGTGATGCTCACCTTGGTCGCATTGCGGTTTGCATAGTTGACACAGGCATTGTGGCTCTGGTTCAGCCACTGAAAGGCAATGATGAGAGAAGTCAGGGAAGGAGTGGTCACCTCCCTGGAAGCCAGGCCTGGACCCCAGGAGGTCACACATCCCCAGAAAGACACAGCATGCGGTCTCTAGCTCACATGGTGCTACCCATGCTGCCAGTTAGCATGACTGACGGTCCTGGTTTGCCCAGGGCTGTGCTGGTGTTAGCACTGAGCCCTGCCTCTCGGGAAGTCTCTTGGTTCCTGAATGGGGTCCTGCACACCCCAGCAGTCCACCTGATCCTGAGACAGTCACCTCTCTTGGAATGATGGCGTTCACTGCCCCTGCAGACCCCATTGCCTTTGTCACACCATCTTTATTATATTATTTGCTGGACAAAAGTTGGCCTAGAATGACTGACAGCCCTGCACTTCTTTCAAAAATCTCCCAGTCCAGTGTCCTGCACCTCCAGTTCCCAGACACAGAGGCCGGCAGGAGTTTTGTTCAGTGAAGACTGACATTTTCTCCTAGAAGACAGACAGGTTTTCCTTCCTGCCCCTCTTTCTCTGCACACATAAACACAGAGATACCCTCAACTGTTTTCATGGCATCACAACCCAGACTGTCTCCAAGAGCAGGGACCAGGGTCTGTGATGCACTTCACCACCTCAGGTTAGGGGTGTATTGACCTTTCTCAGTAGATGTGGGGGAGGCTGATGTCAAAATGAGGCTATGGGCCTCAGGGTCACTGGCCTTGGGATGAGCAGCCAAGGGGCAGAGTGGGGGCCACCCCACTGACAAGCCAGCATGTTCCAGGCAGGGGCACGCAGCCCTCATCACCTCGGTCCAAAGGTTAGAGTGACACATGTGGATTGAGACATGCTGGGCTGCTGGAGACCTCAGCAGGGCCAAAGTCCTGGTTTTCCTTCAGTGACTTCTGGGCTGGGGTGGTGTCGGGGTGGACTGACCCTACGCGGGGTCTGGACGGGGCAGGAGACACCAGGGCAGGGAGTTCTTAACCAGCACCTGTGTGGGCCCTTCCTTCAGGAGCCCTGTTTGCTGGGAGACTGTTACCTGCCAGAAGACAGTGGATGCCAGTGTCTGGTTGGGCAAGAGAAGACCGACTACCTATGAGCGAGAGAGAAGAAATGCTGAAAAAGGCAAAAGAAACATCCTATGCTTTTGCAAAGAAAAAACACACTACCACAAACGAGTGAGCTGGATCTATACAAACTGATGTGGTATGCCGTGTACACACAAACTGAGGTTCACTAAGGGAGAGGGTGTGCGATGGGAAAAAACCAAGTTGCAGAATTATATTATAGCATAATCTTATTTAAAGAAAAATCACCTTATATATATAACCATATACACAAACACATGCATACACACATTATCTCCAAGCATGAAAAAACCTGTAGCGTGGATGTCTCTGGAGGTTGGGTTGCAGGTTACTTTTGCACAATCTTAAATATTTCTGTATTCTTCTTAACAATAGACATGCATTATTTCCACTATTAGGGGGGGCAATAAAAACAAGCAAACAAAAGGAATACCATCGTTTCCACTCAGGTTACCTGACTCCTTCTCACCCTAGCCTTCCTGTAGGATTTTCGCGAGGATTAAACAAAAATCATTTCAAAGGCCTTAAGTGCTTTGTAAATACAAGTTGGGGGAATTTGTATCTGTCATCTGTGAATTTCCATGAAGCAAAAACCTATACCATGTTTAAGCAACTGAATGAAACACAGATTTCTAATATTTGTTGAATGAGTGAAGGAATGAATGAAGAGATGAACAAATATACACATATGGCTACGTATGGAAACACAGACGTGGATCCATTATTCCCAAAGCCCAAATATCACCTAAGACCTAGACTTGCTGACCGTTTTTTTTGGTTTAAGTCAAGATGAATGGTCTGATTTTGACACTGGCCAAGCCTTGGACTTCAGGGATCCCTGTGCATCTCTCCAGTTTACCTTTTGAGTGTTTGTGTGCAAAGTAACATCTACCAAGTCCCACTGCATATGGGAAAAATGTGCACAACCATCCACATATTGACTTATTTATTATTCCTGTAGATGAAATGGCTCTTTGGCAAGAATTTCTGTAAGGAACAAGTATAAACACTCAATAATATGCAGTAAATCAAATTCTAGACATCCCCAGCAGCATTAGTAAATCATGTTTTAAACATTAAAATGTTTTAAAACAGCGAACACACACACACACACACACAATCTATATTTATTGGCTCATATCAGTTTGAATAAAATTATATAATATAAAGCTATTCCATAGCTCCAATGAGGAATTATGAGATTTTTTTCCCCCAGAATGAGATCCCAACTTGATTTTTTTTTTCTTTGCAGTGGCAGCTTAGGGAACTAGAGTGAGAATCAGGGGAACTTGGGTCTTACGTTCAGCTCCATCCCCGTGTGATTTCTGGCAGAAGATGATCCCCTTTGGGGCTCTAACTTTCTTACCTATGAAAGTGAAGGGGTTGACCACAGTGTAAAATTCTACTTCCAAATTCTGGGTAGTTGGTGTCAAGTCAACAGAGACAGTCTTGTCTGTAATGGGATCCCATCTGCCAAGGAGCATCCCAGAAAACTGAGGACCTCCTCCTAGTTGGGGCCCCCAGTTAGAAGCCAAACCAGAGGGAGGAAGCCGAGCCTAGCAGGGGTGGGGACAGGACAGGGGGTGGGTGAAGAGTACGTGTGCTCATATGTGTACACGTATGCATGGCTGACTGCCTCCTACCACCAGAGGAAGTTAATAAAGTTGTTCACTGTTTGGAGCCCAGCACGTCATCCCCTGATCTGGAGTCTACTGAACACGGTGTCTTATGGACTACATGTCTTCTCCTCTGAATCCCCACTTACCCCCCTTGAACTGTGCTTGGACCACCAGGAACATTGTAAAATACAGCCCAATGGAACTCACTGCATTTACCTGACAACTGCTGTCCAGGACACGGCCCATGACACCACAGGGTTCCCTTTATAATCCACTTGGGGGAAGTATTTTCCAGTCTCAGGATCAGAAGCTGTGCCTCTGAGTAACTGGTGTGCATGCGCCTTGCAGACACTGGGCCATTTAACTGAGTCTCTTTGCACCGTCCAGAAACTCAGGCCAGCTCTCCATAGCCACATTTGCCAAGTGTACAGACCCACACTGCCTGGATTCTGTGCCCAAACCTCACTTCTGGCTTCATTTTATCTTCCCTTCCCTTTGTCTCATTTTCATCTTCACTTCTTTTATCTTTAGTGGCAAGCATTTTTAAAAGTGACATCAAGTCTTTTCCAGAACAAACCAGAACTCTAAACTAAACCAGTATTTGGGCTATGTACCACACACATACACACTGCCCATGGCTCTATGACCAGCGAGCTTTTTACTTTGTTAGACAATCCCCACTTCCCATCCCAATCTCCTGCCCTAACATGGGTCTGGGGTCCATGCTGGCACCTCTGACTGCTATAAGTCTCCTCACTCTTTCTTAAAGAGATGGATTGACTGATTGATTTTGCCAAGCATTTCACTTACCATAATCCTCATACTAACCCTGGGGATCAAACCAGAGATTACTTTTGATATTTTACAAACGAGACAACTGAGGCTTAGAGAAATTCAGTAATCTGTCCATAGCTTCACAGCAAGCTAGAGAATCAGGTCTCCTGGTTCCTGGCTTGGGGGCCCTGACTCTGATTTTAGGGTGCTCCTTCTCCAGCTCATCCCCCTGAGCACAGAAAGAGGGGGGATCCAGTCAGCACTCCACATCCATTTATGGGGAGCTGCTTCTACATACCAAGTTCCTTGCTGCTCCTAATGGAGAAAGTCAGAGGAAAGGAGTGAGTACATGCGTGTGCATGCACACTCACACCACACACACACACACACCACACACACTCCTTACCCACAATAAAAACAAAAACCAGACAAGAAAATGGAGGCTAACATCCTTTATAACACCTAGGCTTGAAAATGACAAGATGGTTTAATGAGGTATTTGGATATGTGTAAAGTTGATAAATTTTAACATCCAAAGACAAGTTCAGGAAGGGAGGGGTGAGTGTGTCCCGGCTATCTAACAAAGGCGGAGGTAGGAGTGAGCCGAGGGGGTGCAGACACAAGAGCAGGCACAGCCGAGACAGCGGAGAGACTGGTCTGACTGCAGAGGAGGTCTGGGAGCCCAGAAGGGAGTGTGGAGAGGGTGAGCTTAGAAGACAGGAGCACAGAGCTGCACCGGCCAAACAGAGCCTTAGGGGGCCATGTGAGGCTAAGGCAGGGGAGCAGGGATCCTGCCCTCCAGGTCCTCACAGTCAGGCAGGGACCAAAAGCACGAGGATGCCAGCCCCATTCCCTATTAGGCAAAACGCAGCACCATCTGCACAATCCCAGGAGCAAGAGCAGATATTTTATAACTTCCTTTTTTCTTTTTAAGTCTAAATTAAAAATAAATGTTCCCTTCAGCTCTCAGATGTATATCTCTGGTGCAACCTGCCCACATTCCCTCCCGCTGCCCTTTCCAGAACATGGCAGGGGAAAGGAAGAAAGAGATGGATAGAGAGAGGGAGCCAGTCCACCCAGCTTCAATGCCAGTGGATTGCACCTCTTCCAAGAGGGAAACGATTCAGGCGTGGCCACGCAGACGGGTGGAGAGCGCCCAGAATGTGGCTGGTACCAAGGAAAGTGGAAGGAGAGGGAAACAGGAGCCAACAGCTAGGATTTCTAGCCCAGCCTCCACCCTATCGCGCTGCAGGACCTTGGCCAAATCACACATCCTATCTCTGCTCCCATTTATAGTTCATAACATGGCTGAAGTCCCCTCTGCCGCTCCAGCCCCCTGGCAGCTGTGCTCTCTGCACATCCGTCTGTACCTTTGCTGTTCCCCTTCCTCTTGGGTGTCCTACCACAGACCTAGTGATTAACGCTCAGGCTCTGGTCGTCAAATGCTGGTGCCAGCATTTACCAGTTATGTGACCACAGGCAAGTCACTGGAACTCTTTGTGCCTCTGTTTCTTCGGCTGTTAAGTGAAGGACAATCCCAGTACCTCTCAGGATGGTTATGAGAGGAAGTAAGGTGTGGAGGAAATTCAGCTCAGCGTGCGGCCTGCAGCAAGCGCTCCCTGGATGCCGGTTGCCAGTGCCATTCCTCTCCTCCCATGTAGTTCTTTCCTGGACTTTGCTGGTTTCCTCCTCTGAGCTCCAAAGTCAGCATTACACCACTGAACATCATCTCATCTCCATCCGTCTTGGAATACAAGTCTTATCCCTCAGAGAACAGAGCTGCGGAAGGCAAAATTGGGGCTTTTCCCTTTTCCTCTGATGCCCCCCATGGCATTCAGCACAAAGCTGGGCTCACACCCCAGGCTGGAAGAACACTGCTCATCATTACATAATCATTGACCAGGGAAAGATCTCTGCTGGACTGGGACAATGCACTCCTGACTCCTTTTATTAAGTCCTAATTGCAGGGGGGTTGGGGTAGGAGACTGAGTCTTTGGTCCAGATTATTTTCCACTCCCTCTATCCATACCCTCGCCACAGCCTCATCACAGAAGGAATTTATTTCCTCACTTTTTGGCTCCGCTTGGTCATCTAACTTGCTCTGGCTGACAGCACATGGGAGGACGGACGTGGCAGTGCGTCAGTTCTGAGCCCTGGCTCAGAGGCCTCATGCCTTCCTGCTTGCCCTCCTGAGCATCTAAGGGTTGCCACAAGAAGACATCCCTGAAAAATCCCTGGTCCAAGGAGGAGGAGAGACAGGAGGGCACAGTCTATCCCAGGTCAGGTCACCTTCAGTTGACCATGGCGAGATGCAGAACTGCCTCAGTCAAGCTCTGCCTAGACCAGGCAAACCCCAGTCAACTGCAGATCCCTAAGAATGAATGCTTACAGGCATGGTGGCTCACACCTGTAAACCCAGCACTTTGGGAGGCCAAGGCAGGCAGATCACCTGAGGTCAGGAGTTCAAGACCAGCCTGGCCAACGTGGCAAAACCCCATCTCTAGTAAAAATGCAAAAACTAGCTGAGGGTGGTGGCAGGTGACTGTAATCCCAGCTACTTGGGAGGCGGAGGCACAAGAACTGCTTAAACCCAGGAGGCGGAGGTTGCAGTG